GGAGCCAGCCTATTTTAATCAAGAAAAAGTCTTTCTTTTTTAAGCATTTAACTGCTATAGATGTTTAAATCTAAAAGTAAATTTTACAAGAAAATCCACACCCGCACGTTGCGTCAGGGCCGTTAAGGTCACGGTTACGGTTACTATTTCGATAAAAGTCCGGCCATTTTAGTCACAAAATGCAAACATCACTTAGTTACAGTGATATTAAACGCGTGGTAGCAGACGCTCGCATCGCGTGGGGGGGTCTCGTTGTTGATTTTTAAAGATGATTTATATTTTTTTTATTTTAAATTAATGAGAACTTAATATAGATTATTTGACTTATTGATATAACTTAATAAGTAGTTTTACTCATATTCCATCAAATTACAAAAATCCGGGCAAAGTCCGGACAATACACAAAAAGTCCGGCCATGTCCGGACGAATCCAGACGGATGGTACCCACGATGGTCTTGGAAGAATAATTGTTTAGCGCATTCGCTCGGATAGCGGAGGGTGTGGGTTCGAGTACCTTAAATTTTTTCATACGAAATACTCGTATTTTGTCATTGCAAGCGTCTCTGTGTGGCCGCTTGCCATCAGGCGAGCCCTGCGCTTGTTTGCCACCTCTTTAACATAAAAAAATATTATAATACTAGTAGTTGGTATTTACTGTCCCATTTATGCTGGCATTTTGTAACGATACACTCCCCTACGAGGGGTAGAAGAGTGTATCGTTACACTTTTGGGCTCCACGTTGGGCGCCAAAACTGTAACGCCAGACCCCGCTAACTAGCCCTCATTATGCCTCGCAGGCTCTCACCGCCGTCTTCTGCGAGCCCACCTCCTCGTAGAATGTGATAACGGTCCGCCTTGACTTCTCACTGTCCAGCATAGCTTTAACGATGCTGCGCTGGAAAAGCAAGGCAAGGCAATTACCTATAGTACAGGGTGTGAATTGCGCACGGCCGCAGGGGTCTTAGGGAGACTCATTACTCTAGAGTGGCTGGATTGATTTTCATGATGTTTAATTTATATTTGTCATCACCCCGAATACTAATACATTTTTTTTGTTTTTTTTTTACATTAAATAGGTTTACGCTTGACGGCCACGCGACTGATGAAGAGCGACGTAGCAGCCTAAGGTGGGACGCGCTTGCCTAGAAGAAACCGATTCACTCGCGACTTGAAGAGCCCCAGATTATAGGTGACTGGTAACAGAGATTCCGGCAAAGAGTTCCACAACCTAGCTGTTCTGACGATATAGGTGGAAGCAAACCGTTTAGTACGAGTTTGCGGAACCTCTACGGTATATCTGTGGCGTTTTGCCGTCTTTCTAGTGGTTCTGCAGTAAAAAGGTGAAGGTAAATACATTAACGACCTTTTGTCTTTAACTCTACTTTTGAACAAACACTTCTTTTTTTATTTTTAGTTCCAACTTATTACTATTAAAATAATTATTAAACAAAGATGTCATTTGGAACCACCAGCATCGTTCCCAATTGCCGCCTAAAAAATAATTATGAATAACAAAGGGGGCTTTCGGGACCGCGGTCCCGGTCCCATATGACTGTCGACTCTAAAAAAGGGCTAGGTAGAGACACCTCTGAGCCTAAATACGAATAATAATACTCACGTCGCCCTACCCTGACTCCATCCCTTACCCTGAGGTGTTCTGGAAAACCGACAGAAGCACAATAGCACCAAAAAATAATGATATTTCACTGTGATCTTCTGTAAGGTGTAACTTTCTTCCCTTCTCTTAATCCGAAAATCTTTTGCCTAAACTGAAGGCAAAAATTAGTCTCAATACATTTGACGTCATATCAATCGCACCTTGTTAACTTGTTGCTGTTTGTCCGAACCTTGACTGAGTGACATTGGCCATTATGTATTACATAATTAATTTCGTAAGGCGGATGGCACATTGCATCGTTTTTAGGAAGCGACAACAGGCAGTGCACATTGTCACATTTCTTAAAAAGTATTTTAAATATGTTTAAAAAAATACTTGTGCTTTATATACTCATTTCTATAGAGTGAATTTTAATTTGAATTCGTATAAATTGACAAATGAATTTTCGTTTGACACTGACATTGTGCTTGAATAAAAGGAAAACAAAATGATAACCTTGCAAAGAGGTTATTAAGACAACAAGATATTTTTGTTTATTACATGATTAAAAATTTTTTTTTGAACTCGACCTTATCGCGTTCTTACCATATTTCACGGAAGTTGGGCCTTAATTAAAGCATCACACGTGCCAAGTAAGTAATTACAGGCAACACACACGGAACTGCATTGTGCACTGCAGTGTGTTACCAGGCTGCAAAAAGTATGAATGACACTTTTTTGCCACCTGAAAATGCAAAGAGAAAATGTGTGGACTCGTTACTGCTCATTTTGCCTAGCTCAGGGTACGAAAATACCGGTGGAGGTGTGGTTGATTCCCAATAAGGAAGCACACACCGCCACCGCTGGCAAGGAGGGCAAATCTCAGAGTTTTTACCCATCCCGGGCAGCAGTTGAGCTGGCTTAGAGGGTTGGACGGGAGGAGTATCACATAACCCCGTTGCCATGCCCAGCGGCGTAGCATGCGTCAAGCATTTTCATTGGATGAACACTTTTTTTCTTTTCCATTACCCTAGCATCCCATAACACAAGCCTTACAGTGCTCACTTTGAAGCTAGGCTAATGGGTGTGAGTGTGGGAAATACTTTTTTATTTTATCCGACACGCAATCTGAGGGCCTACGGGGTTGGTCGGAATTATGGGTGTGGTCGTGGTCTTAGCTAGAGTATGGACTGCGCTTACCTAGTTTTTGGTTAGGGAAGTATGAAGTGTGAGATAGAACGAGGCGATAATCCTAGTATTTGAGTAATCCTAATATTTAGTTCATTTATGTATTAGTTGTTATTTTGTCTCTTTTTAGGAGTGTCGCTCAGACATTACCTGTCTAAGGTCGTAGCTCCCAGGACTGGTTACGCATTCGCCAGTATGTAACCCGCCTAAGCAGGTTATAAAGTTTGCTAAATCTTGTTTCGTCCGGAACTTATCAATGTTGATAAATCATTAAAACAACGCCGTTGCGTGTGATTAGCAATTAAAAGGTCAAGGACTTGGATGATTTCCGGATTTTCTGGTCTGCATTAATGACGAGTCAGATACAACACCGAGGAATTCTTACCAACGGCAAAATTATAAAAATCGCGTTACTTTTAAAGGATATTTTGAAGTGATAACTTCTTATGGGAGGGTAAACAGCTTCGTTACGTAACGCGTTATGGCGCTAGTTTGTCTGGCTTTAGACTGGCTCCGCACTCTAACCCGTAGCGCCGCTTAGATTACTTTAAGTTATCAATTCTGGCGTGCGTCCCGTTACGTATTTGCTTTTTTTTTACTATGAACCCACATGACATGACAGACTTACTCATAAATAATGACACAATACACCGCCAAACAATAGCAAACGTATATATCTGAGCGCAAACTGTTTATGCCCAATCGACAGAGGGGAAAGCTGTGTATGCCTGCTCGTCCCTCCTGGCCGCGTCGGCGGTGTTGCTCTATGAGATGTCGGGCTGTTGTCTCCCCTGACGACCCCCTAGGGGAGACATCAATATTTCTCCCACGACAACGGCTAACTAGAGCCGAGGTCCGAGTCTCAGAGACGCCTTCTAATTGAGCCGACCCCCTCAGATTCGAGTAGTCTAGAGGCTCCGGACGGAGAGGAGACTCCCCCTGTAGGGAGATGCCATCCGCCTGGAATAACTCCCGAGGCTCTCGCCAATTGGCGAGCTCGCTTGAGGTCCCCTAAGGATCTCGCCATCCCCAAACCCGTCGACGACGTAAAGGTCATCTGCGCCCAACAGCATACACACTCAAAAAAACAAAAACAGTATTTCTATGATTGCAAGCTTCATTATGCTACCATACCATACCTGCCGCATATCGGAAGGAGTGGAAGGCGGAACAGACTTGGTTGTCATACTTTTCACATAAAGAAAAACCCAAGAGCCACATAGAATGTCAAAAAGGTTCTCTTTATTTTATAGACTTTTAGTACCAGATTTATTGTCAAATTAAGTAGTTACCTAAATAGTTTTTTAACACGGACGTTTGAAAAACCTGTTGCAGTTTTTTTACGTATTTAAGAAGCCGAAATCAATGCCATTATATCTGTTCATCGTGTCATTACAAATACATATAAAATTATATCTATATTAACAATTCAAATGATAAAAATCTGAATTTAGTTTAGGAACTATAAATATTATTCGATATCTAGTTGTAGTGGCTGTGGTTGATGTAGGAGCCATGTATGAAACTGCTAAGTAACTCAGATTAAAGAACAAAATGAGATAAGTAGTATTATATGGTCTGAGATGAGATGAAAAATTAACAAAAATAAATAGGTAACCATATATTTTTTTGGGCATCTGGTTGTCTATGGATAGTGTTCATGTAAGTAATTGATTGGATTTTACAATCTGCACTGCACGGGAACAATTTACATTTGGCGCATTCAATATTATATTAATCATTCAGTATTAAAGTATTTCAATAGTAACTTATTGATGTGCGTGAAAATAGAAATTAGTTACATGGTTTTAAAAGGAATTAAAGAAGGAGTTAAGGAAGGAATAAAAAACAACGAGTTTTTGCACGTGGAATTTATTTACGTCAGAATACCTTTATGACACGCCATTCAGTCATCGAGTTACGTCAAAGTTAAAGATAGTTTTTATTATTAACACACATCCATACACGAGTTAAGACTATTTTGGAAAGAAGATTTTTTAATAGAACTTTGAATTAGAGAACATATCATTAATTGAGCAATTGATGTTATAATAAAACTTGAATGTTGGAAGCACAAATTGGACGGAATACATTTAATTTCTCACTTTTTATCATGTTGTAGTGTTCGTATAATTCAATGGTTTTTTTTTTCTTTTTTTATGTTATAGGGGACAAAATACATAACAAGAACTAAAAATCAGTACCCATTTGACAATGACATTTCGGACTCGCAAACGTTACGGATTCGATTTTGGTTCGTGCTAGGGGTACAGTTACCATTTGACAATGACATTTCGGACTCGCAACGTTACAAATTTGATATTGGTTCGTTCTAAGGGTATTTTGATGAAGACCAATCAGTTTCGATTTCAGCACGAACTTACACATTGAATAAAATTCATATTGTATCCCAAAGATTAGTGACTAGTTGTGTTTTCAGTACTCACACATTAAATAATATTTCTACAACCAGTAACTCGTGTAATGTGTGTTTTAAATAATTAGTTCCTTAAGGGACAGGATAGAAAGCGTTGTCCAGGACCATGCAGTTGTTGTTTACGGCAGACATAAGTACGTAACCATCTTCGCCCCAACTCTCTCCCCAAGAGTTGCGGACTATCCAGTATGGGGTACCTTCCCTTTCACCGTATCCTACGACTACTACGCCGTGATTAGGGCCTTCTTCGCTGTCACTGAAATTAGTAATAGTTATTTATGATATTAGTGCGGTAAGTTGGTTATTACAAACGAGAAGACGAATGTCACGAATTAACAGTGTACATAATTTATGTAATGAAGCAAACTTTTCTTATGACAAAATGGCGTGCATTTGCAAATGGCGTCACGTGCGGGTGGTGAAAATTAGAACTACATGTTTCATCTCTTTCTTTTCTGTATAAAACTGAGACAAAGGTATAGATTAAAAGCAGTTGCAAGGAGGTTCGATCGAAAGTGAAAAAAAATAACCGTAAAGAATAGGAACGGTGCCCATGTATGGAGAGCGTGCGGTAAAAAAATTACAGCACGCTCCGTTGTATATTCCCACATAGGTACCGTCAATTGGTTCAGATTATTCCTTAAAGGTTCGATAGGTCATCCTTTACGGGGTTAGCAAGTTGTCCTGTAAGGGGTTGGCAGGTATTAACCTGACTGGAATGGCGGTTTAACCCTTACAGAGTTGGCAAATCATCCCTTACGGGGTTGGCAGATCCTTAACTAATTCTTATATAGCATTGTTCTTACTAATATCTTGTCTGTAAACGGTAATGATAGATTACTAACCTATCGCCTATAGTAATTTCGAAATAAACCCTGTCCGTTGATAGGCTTCGACTATCTGTACTGAATACTGAGCAGCTGGCGCATTCTAAGGTATTTTTAATTCCCTAATTTAATTTTAATGAGGGAATTTTTAACGGTATATTTTATATCCCTCGTTTATTCTGTCAGGAACAATTTCCTTATAAAGAATATTTTTGGCTTAAATGAACAATAACAATCAATTAAGTCTCGTATCAGCTCGATGGCGCGTGTGGTTAGCGCGTTCGGCTGCGATCGTTGTAGTTAAGCAACTTTCACAGTAGTCAGTCATTGGATGGGTGACCAAAAATTTATTATCTTGAGCTCTTCCGTGCTTCGGAAAGCACATTAAGTCATTTGTCGGTTGTTGTTGACCAATGGTTTAACATCTGCATTCGTTAGCATCTATCAAACGGCAATGACAAAATAAAACAAAACTAGGGCCCCAGCCCAGCCCAGCAGTGGGGACATTAATAGGCTGATGATTAGCGGTGGGTCGTTCTCAAATTTTCTGACGACGAAACGCAACCGTTTTCTCTTAAACGAAAACTAGTCCTCGAAACGGTTCTAGTTCGCAACTGGTTTTGGTTGCGGCTGGGTGACGCAACGAAACGACACGCGACGCGACGCGACGGTCGAAGGAATGTAACGCAACGAAACTTAACTAAATGAAATCTTGTTAACGTTCGTTTCGTTGCTGCGAACGAGACGACGAAACATCGAAAGAAATGTTGTGTTATACGATAATCGACTTTAAATGTTCAATAATAAAGATTATATTATTGTAAAATCAAAGCTTAATTATCATAGAACGAAACGGCCTCATATCATTGCGTTCTATTATAGACTGTATTTACTTCACCATAAAGTACATATTGGCGTGCAGACAATCCGAGGACTAGTTGTTCGACGAAGACTGTTTTGATTCGAAACGTAAAACGGTTCTATCGTCGTGGAACACAAAACGGTCCTTGAAACCGGTTCGTCTTTAGAACGCTCACACCTACTGATGATAATGTATCATATGTATCTCTTATCCTAGTATTCACACAAGCCTAACACTGCTTCCTTTGGGGACGACTAATTGCTGTGAGCGCTAAAAGAAAAATCTACATTCTCACCACTCGTAGTCATAGAACACCCCGCTGGAGTACAGCTTGAGGTTTCTGCCGGCGTATATGGCCACCGTGACTGGTCCGTACTTGTTGAGAGCCGCTTTCATGGCCACGGGGTTCCCTATTGCCACCCTGGAGAAGCCGCGGATTGGGAACGTCTCCGTCATGTTCTCCAAGTGGCAGATGCCCTCCTGAATGGGAAAAACGTGTTCCAGAATCTATTACTACAAAGTGAGAGAAAGGCAAACGTATTCTAGAATATTCTATTGTTATGAAGTAGCTTTTTCTATGGTCACTAAAATTTGCGTCGAAGTCAAGTCAAGAAAGTCTTAATAGTAGGTGCGATTTTCTCTAGCGAGGCAGAATACCATAAGGGCGGAGGGCAACTTTGCATCTTCTAAAGTATCGACCGTGTAAGGCAGCAAAAATATCAAATGGCTTTTGGTCCCGTCCAAATCGTCAATCTACTACTATTCGTAAGTGGAATTCTTTACCCGCGCACGTGTTCCCTCCTTCCTATAATCTGGGGTCCTTTAAGAGAGGCGTGAAGAAGCATTTTTGCAGGCCGGCAAGGTGAGGATGGTTGGTGTAGCAGTTTATAACTGCTGTACCAGCTATCTTCGCGTTTGGGCTTTATCACTACTTAACATCAGGTGGGGTTGAGTCATTTGTCTACTTCGCTATAAAAACTTTTGATTGGGAGCTACTGGAGGGTTCACGTAGAATCGCTTCTTAATGTCTGACGCGCTCGAATATTTTATTTTTCCTATTTTTTAACCCGGACGAAGGGGTAGAAAATAGACGGAATAACTTTAATCTAATGGTTTGCATGGTGCATGGTTGCATTCAAACGACTGATGAATTAGATGCGACCAAAAGTCATTTATCTGATTGTTGTTTTATTTTGCTGCGCTAGAAGTGCGAGGGCTCAGGCATGGTGGAAGGCAAAATGCGAGGTTGCCCCTCTTATGCTTTTCACCCGAGCTCGAGTAAATCCCAAAATCTCCGCTTGTGCTTCCCTCCTAAGGTACTGTGGGTTAGAGAGAAAGCAAAACCCATGCCCAATAAAATAAGACATCCGTTTGTCTTAACTATCTGCATCTAAATAACTATATACTGGCTGCAAGTTATTTCAGAGACACTCGCAGAGGTGGTTCGTGTATATTGATTCGGCAAGGCTTTGAGTAAATTTTTGATGTCTCAAAATTTTGTATTAAATGTGTATTTGAATGTAGTGCATGGAAATTAACGATTGAAGATCTCATCACAGTTTGTATATATAGGCCACCAAATGCTGTCATACAATTATTTGGAAATAAATAATAAAAATAAAAAGTAATAATAATTTTAAATGTATAATTTGTGATTGTGATTTTAATGTAAACATTTTAAAAAGGACCAAATTTACCTACAATTTTGAGAATTTACTTTTAAGCTATAATTTTAGGTTACAAATCAGACAACCCACAAGGCTCAGTAGTCAAACATGTCTTGATAATTTTGCCATAAAATCTAGAGTTTGTAAGAGCGAAGTCATTGAGCTGGCCTTGTCAGATTACACTGCGCGGTTATTAAATTGTCCTGTGAAGAGGATATATCCAATTAATTATTGGCGCATAAGACAACGTGATTATTCTGTGGAAAACATGGCTAAATTGAAGGAGGCTATTCAAGCATTAAGTTTTAATGAGGTCTATACATCAAAGGATGTAAATGTTGCCTGTAATATTCTTATTGAGATTGTCAAATTATTTCATAACTTATCTTTTAATCTAAAGAAAAATTTACTAGAAAATAAATCCACGCGGACCAGGCAGCGGACGGGACTCGAACCCGCACCCTTCGCAATCCGGGCGAATGCACTGACCATTATGCTACCACGGCCCTATTGGCCGCGTCGAAATTTTCCTAGCCTTAAGCTGCAAGGCAGCGCCATATTGTGGGTTACCTACAATGCGAAGAGAAGAGTGTGGATTTTTTTCTAGTAAACTTTTCTTTAGATTTAAACATCTAGCAGTTAAATGCTTAAAAATAAAAAAAAACGTAACTTTAGTCAAAAGTGACCTGGCAAATAATAAATAAGAATAAAAATCAGTATCCTCCTGAAACGATCCAACATTTACTTAAAGATAGAAAGCGAATCTTTGATTCTTTGCATGTGGCCAAAATGCTTAACAACCATTTTGTAGACTACACTCAAAATAAAAAAAAATCTACATTAAAAATACCTACAAAAATTACAAATTCAATATTTTTGTCTGAAATTACGACAGAGACTGTTCAAAATACTATAAGATCATTAATGAATACCTCTAGTGTAGGTATTGATGGTATCCCCACTAAATTAATTAAATAAAATTTAGACTCTTTAACTTTTCCTTGCTTCGGAAGGCACGTTAAGCTGTTGGTCCCGGCTGTATCTGCAGTCGTTAGCACTCACCAATCCGCACTGGGCCCGCGTGGTGGGTCATGGCCCAATCTCCCTATTCTATCCATAGGGAAGGCCTGTGCCCCAGCAGTGGGGACACAAATAGGCTGATGATCATGATCATGATAAACTTTTCCTTTAACATCTAAATAATTTAAGTATTAACTGTGGAATATTCCCTGACGTATTTAAAATTTCAATTATTAAGCCGATCTTTAAAAAAAGAGATAAGTCGGATATAAAAAAAACTATAGGCCTCTTGCTCAGTTACCAATATTTTCTAAAGTATTTCAAAATTAATACATTATATGATTTATAATTTCTTCGAAAAATACAATGTGTTTGTTAAAGAGCAGTTTGGTTTCCGTAAAAATAGAAATACTCAAAAGGCAATATATAGTTTACTTGACAAAAGACAACATGTTTGTGCCATTTTTATGGACATCACCTGTGCCTTGGATCACGTTGATCATAAGTTACTATTGGCCAAACTCTATGCATATGGGATAAGAGGCATAGCTTTTAAATTAATAGAGTCGTATTTAGGAAACAATGTGCTTTTATCACTAGATGCTGCAAAAAAACAAAATTATTAGGGAATTTATGTCTCTATGTAGAGATGTAGAGGCTGGTGTGCCTCAAGGTAGTTTATTAGGGCCTTTGTTCTTTAATTCGTTTATTAATGACTTTCCAAATTCTATTAAACATCTCATGATTTTATTTGCTGATGACAGTACTGTTATGATTAAATGTATGAATGATAAAGACTATGATAATTACATTAATAATGCTATGGAAAAACTTAACCATTGGATAGTCCCTAATAACTTGTTCCATTTATGCTTTATACAAACTCTCCAAGGTGTCTAATAAGGATATTGTTTTGACTGCATACCGAGGTTATGTTGAATCTATCTTACGATACGGAATAATTTTTTAAGGAAATTTTGTGAATAAGACTCTTTTATTCAAATATCAAAAAAGGTGTATAAGAGCGATAAATTGCCCCAAATCGATTGATAGCTGCAAACCGTTTTTCATAAACATGAAAATCCAGACTCTGCCTTCGCTGTAAATTTATGAATTAGCTGTTTTTGTCATAAGTAACAATTCTCTGTTTCCGACACTCTCAGAAAGGAACCCAGATAGAAATCATCATCACTGGAATAATATTTGCGCTCCTTCATATAAAACCGTACGCATTAGTAATAGCTTCTTTGGGATGGCACACAGAATATTCAACAAGGTTCCGAATAGTCTTAAATCACTACCGATAAAGATTTTTAAGAAGCGTCTGTTGGCATTATTAGTTGAAAAAACCTACTTACTATACAGTTGAGGAATTTTTAAATGACAAATCCTGTAATTAAATCGGACATGTCTTTTTAAAAGCAGTTTTTAATAAAAAAGTCTGACATAATAAAATTGACAATCCAGTTAAGAAATGTATATTTGTTGCTATTTTGGACATTTTGCTTATTTTTCCATTTATTTGACTATTAGTATGACAACTTTACGGCTTATCAAATTTATAATTAATTTATAATCTAATTTGTCATGCATGTAAAAATAGACTATTCCAAATTATATTTTATAAATTGTGATTTCAATGTAACCAAAATAATAGTACCTGTTTCATAGGTCCATATCTATTTGTATACCTTATTTAAGGTGGAAATGTAGTGATACTAACAAAAAAATTATTTACTTACCATGTAAATACTAACCTAGGTTTCACAAATAAAATTCTGATTCTGGTTCTGGTATTAAGTTAGTTATCAAAACCGAACGACACTGGTAATATTATAAGAATTAAATAAAATTGTATTGAACGACCAGACTTACCAATTCCAAGTATTTTCCGTATTCCCTCTCAGTTGGGATTTGATTTTGGAGGACGTACTCGAAAGCTTTGTCCAACTGCCCGCCACTACAGCCGAAGTTTTCATATCTATGACGAATGTGTTACAATTAACAAAAAATATCAGAAAACTTTCACTTATAGAACTACGGAGTGTCTGTCTGTACTCAAAATGTTATGTTATTCTTTGGCTTCACTTAACCTCTAGAGACCGCACCGTCCTCAAGCGAGTGCATAGACATAAAAAAATCTACATGCTTTACGTCTGTCAAATACGATTTTACCCGCGCATAGTTTGTAAGACTGTATCAGATTAAATAGTTGCCAGTCAATTGGCGCAGCAGTCAAGCAATCACTGTAGCAAAAAATATTTGACCGGTCATGCAAGTCGCATGGTTAGCTAATCTCAATTAATCCATCCTTAAACATAATAATACAATCAAATTTTAATATAATTACACAAAATTAGGTCCCTTATATTGAAATTAGCCTTTGCTTTGTAAATGCAATAAAGGAAAATAAGTAATGTATATCGTTAAATCGTACGTCCTCATCCGAGTACATACGGAACTTATTTATATCTATGTATTCAGACGAGGCATAGAAGAAAGATGTTATTTTTTATGCTTTCCGGGCATTTAAACAATAACTTATTTTAAAAAGCTATATTGAATCGGATGACCTATAAAAAGGTGAAACAAACAACGAAGGCAGCATAGAGGTTTCCAGCATTTACAGCTGCTGAAATTAATATACCATCACCACAGAACCGAAGTGGACAAGATCGCTGTTCATCAGAATGCCTTTAAGGAGATCGCTGACCTTCTGAGCAGACATGAAACCATCGAATGGTAGCTTTTCGTGCTCGAATTTTACCCAAGCTCGCGGAGCAAAGATATATTTATTTCATGCTCATACAATCTCTGCATGCAGAATTAAACCTGGATTCTGTGATGGAAAATTGAATAGAATTCATTCTTTTAGTCTCAGGGTTGGACAAAGAATAGTTTTATCTTATAAATCATCCTTTAAGGGAATGAAGAGAGGGGCGGAAGTTTTTATGGGAAACCAATTAATTAACGCTAATTAAACCACGAAGATGAAGTCGCAGGCACTTTCTAGTTATGTTAAATAATAAAAAAGCGCGCTAAATGTTAAATTTAAGGAAAGGACAATAGGCAAAATACATCCAGCGCCAACAATATAATTAATAAGAAATATGAAAAATAAGCCTTTTTTGTTATGACACCGTAAAAAAATATCTTGGTAATCGAAAGATATGACACAAAGCCATATTAAAGTAGCTAAATAAATTCATTTAATAGTATCTTCATTTTATTATACAACCAGATATACGACAAAACCTGCCGACCATCGCGGCATGCACTTACTGACACACCGGTACGGGGGTTGAAGGACTTGCAGATGTACCTAGTGGAATCATATGCATTCCTTCGTCTTACTTCGTTGTGATTGTGCGCTCCCTGTCACTTGATTTATTTTAACTAACACGCTTTGGACATTTGAATTCGATTATCTTACACCGCGGCCGTCGAGGACAACGCTCAACAAGAACGGCTGTATCTTGATCTGAGAGTAGTAAGATATGATTTACCCCCAAACGCAGTCGACGAGCGATAGTTCGCGGAGTTTGAGGTTTTTCTTGCCCATCGCACGAGAGGGAGCTCTTTCCACAACTACCGTGATGGAGAACCTCGATAAGTAGGAAGTGATTGTTCGTTTAGGTCGAGGTTTCTCCCGCCTGTCACTCGGAAGAGAGCTTCTCTCACCACGGCCGTCGTCCAGAACGCCCAACAAGAACCGCAGTTACATTGATCTGAAGGAAATGGCATATGATTTACCCCCATGCGCAGTCGACGAGTGATTGTTCGCTGAGGTCTAGGTTCCTGCCACCGTTTGCGCGGGAGAGAGTGCCTTCCACCGCGGCTGTAGTAGAGAAAGCCCAGCAAGAACCGCAGTTGCCTTGATCTGGATTATAAAATAAACGAATAATAAAAAAACGATGCAAGTGAAACTTTCAAAATCATTAATAAAAAACGCTCGAGGCCATGGTAAATTCACTTTGAAACATGGACGGAAAAGTAAAACAGAAAATGAAAAAAAGGTCATTGCAGTCTAGGAATATGGGCCATAAAAAGGACAGTTTTAAAGATAGTGCATTTCCTCAATCTTGTTTTTTTTTTCAAAAAAATTGCCAGTGTCACTCGTGATGACGTAAGGAATCTAAATGATACGGATATTGACTTTTCTTATGTATAATATTTTGTTCAAGGCTTTAACCGAATTACAGAATCTGTTTGAAGGTCGGAAAATATAAAGGACCCTTTTAGGAGCATGTCCTATCCTCTATCAAATTTATGTCGTCTTTTAGAATAAAGATATTTTATGTTGCTTTCAATGCTACAGCTCCGAGTGTAAGATGCTATTGGTTACTACAAATAGTGGTTATTAAAATTTAATTCAACTGGTTCGATGTACCCATATCTGAAAGCACATGTCGTTTATCAAATACAGTTCATCTTCCATCACTTTTAACTCCTCACCGGAATGTCGAACAGGTATGCTACCTTCGGTTTAGAATCAGATTGTAAGATAGGGTTGAATCAGACATGATAAATACTTACCCCTGATCGGTCTCAGGTATCCTCCTAAGCGCATATCGAATTCCTCAGGCAAATCGTTTTCCATGCCTTTCAATTCCTCATCGGAATGAGGGAACGGTATGCTGCCCACAGCGTTGGGATCTGAAGGTCTGGTTCCGGTTAACATACTGAACTCTTCATCAGTGTAGTCAGCGAAATGATTAAGTTCCAACTTGTATCCTAAGTTTTTGCGGTTGTGGGATTCAACGTATCTGTAAACATGTTATGAAATAGACTTAGGTACGTTATTATTTTAAATTAATGTAAAATTGAATGGTCTTTCTTTTATTTTGGATGCAATGTTATTAAGACGAATCTGTATTATCTGTATACTTATAAAAGACAACCGTTGGCGTTGCTGACTAATCTGTCAATGCACAACACAAGTCACTGAACGGATTGCGCTGAACTTTGGCACACATCTAGCTATTTTGATGTAAGCATGCGCTAAGAAAGGCTTTTCTAAAAGTCACCTAAAGGGATAAAACGGGGTATCCAAGTTTGTATGAAGCACCAAAATGACGAATTAATCCATTAATTAAATAAGCATTTTGTGGAGTATTTTTTATTACTGATTTTGACGTTCATTCAATCACTCAAAATCAAATCGGTTACAGTTGCCTTTATCCTTATTCAGAGCTTTCGACCCATTCTTTCTCACATTTAGCGGGTTAACCTTCCGATTCAGACAGCAACTTTTTTAACTCATTGAATGCAGTTCGTATTGTTTTTAAAATAAAAATGCTGTATCTCCAACATTTTAGGAACTTCTCCTCCATGGGGCAAAGTTCTGGGACATATAATTATATTTAAAACTAAAAAACCATGGTAATACTTAGAAAGGTAAGTAAAAATGATTGATTTTATTTTACTCAATCACGCAAAAACTTCTGAACGGATTTGGGTGAAATTTGGTACTCATATAGTCTATGACCTGGATTGCGACATAGGTTACTTTTTATTCCGAAAAAGTAACAGGTCCCTGTGGGATTCCGAAAAAAACTGAAGTCAACGCGGACAAAGTCTTTAGTTGTGCAATACTTCTAACTCACCTCCAGTTCTTGTGGAAGATGGCTTTCCTGATTTCGTGTTCACTCTTCTCGTAAATCTTGTTGTGATGACGCTTGTAACTACAATTAAAATACAAGATTTTAATTTAATAAGAATGCTTATTAATAAAAAACGTTTATTGTGTGTTGGACTTATTTATAAAATACTGGCTAATTTAATAAAGTAGCATTACCTATGGAAGGCCTTATCTACATCCTCGAGTTCATCGGGGTGAAGGAATCTCAGGTCACTCTTAAAATTTTCCCCCAGAACGCCTCTGAAAATGCATTCCTCTTCTGCGAAAACAGAGAATGAAGAGATAATACATAAATAATAAAAATAAATATTTCCAACACTCACACCAATTAGCCTAGCCCTAAAGTTAGCTCTGTAGGTTTGTGTTATGAGATACTAGGGTAACGGATAGGATACATATTAAACATCGATGACTGGAGTACCAATGCTCGTATTCATCACACAAACACCTTGAAACGCGGCGTACAAACCACTCGGCTACGGAGGTCGTCAGAAATTCAAACGAACACAATATTGTGACCTACTGTGTATACAACATCGCAGTGTATAATGTATATAGACTGTGTCTATATACATTATACACTGCGATGAAATTTAAGATCGGATCAATTCCAAACGTAGCGTCGATGAGCTATTGCAATATGAGGTATCATCATCATCATCAGCCTAATAATGTCCCCACTGCCGGGGCTCAAGCCAAGTTAAGTAAAGACTCAGGCCCCAGCAGGCCTTCCCTATATATGAAATACAATAAATCACAGTCTATATACATTATACACTGTGATAAAATATAAGATCGGATCAATGCCAATCGTAGCGTCGATGAGGTATTGCAATATGAGGTATCATCATCATCATCAGCCTATTAATGGCCCCACTGCCGGGGCATAAGCCAAGTTAAGTCAAGACTCAGGCCCAAGAAGGCCTTCCCTATATATGAATTAGCGAGACTGGGCCCAGTGCGGATTGGTGGGTGGCAATATGAAGAAATGTTAGTATACATACAAACAATATATATGCGATGTTTGTCTATTACCTTTTCAAACTTATTGGTATCCTTTGGCTTTCTCGGGAAAGGACATAAGTCTTTATTCCAGAAATTATCCTTTAAGGCGATGAAAACGGCAGTGGAATTTAGTATGGGGAATCAATTGAACCACGCAGACGAAGTCGCATGCATCCACTAGTGATTGTTATGTCGTGAATTTGGTAATACTAAATAATCATGTACAGTCAAATGCCATGACTTGGGACCCATTTATTATTAATATTCGCTTTGCAAGAAGCTCAAAACCTCGGGGTCAATACAGTAAATATTAACCTCCTTGCTTATGCCAGCCATACACACTACGAGAAATCGTTACGATCAGACTATACAGTTCGAACGGAACAGTTTATCGTACGTGGCGTACGTATAGAAAACTGTGCAGTTTTACAGCATACACGCTACGATTTATCGGTACCGTTCGAACTGTACAGTCTGATCGTAACGATTTCTTGTAGTGTGTATGGCCGGTATTAGGATATCGTTTCGTTTTTAATTTTTTGTTTTGAACATTATGCTAGTGTCGCACAAGGAAATTTTATTGCGAATCCAAGAGAATGTAACGTAATCATATATTTTACTTAGAACATAGCCTAAGTTTTATTGAAATCTGTATCTAATTTTTATGAATTAATAAAATTTTAATTCCTTTATTGAATAGTATTTTTTCTAAGCGCTAACATATAAATATTACCAGAAAGTGGAGTGGGCGATACGAATATCGTCAAATTTTACATCAATGCGTTCTGAAACTATATATATTTTGGCAAAACACTATGCTGCATCGACTGCATCAGGAACGCGATACGCGTTGATACTACTGCATTATGGGTAAACTGTTTAAAGTATATTGAACCGTATCGTAATGGAATATGAGCGCGACCACTGCCAAGCGAGAGCGTGTGATGAGATGAGAGTGATTTCAAAATCGAAATTGAAATGTAGCAATTTTTCTCCGATATTTCGATATTCGAGATTTCTATATTCAAACCCCAGTCCGAACGTTTGGCGGGTAAACTAAGCAGTTTTCTTTCCTCACTTAATTAATACGTTGTCATAGCAACATCTATGGTCAATAGAATTATTAGCTCCTAGGATGTCTGTTTGCTGTACGATATGCAAGCGGCGGGTTCAAATCAAAGAACGTGACTGTACATAGTATTATTTTTAATGCCATACTAAAGCTGCGTACGGAGAGCCATTTCCAGACTATTCGCTAACTTTTTTGACATTTACAGTGCGTAACTAAAGAGACAATTGCATATCCATCGATGCTTTTCAGATCAAGAATCTTATTGGCGTTATAATAAAGGAATAGTGGATCACTAAATAGCTCGGTGATTATCACTTCCATCTGTCAAAAGCAGTTAGAGAGTAGGCCTACTGGACGCGATATCAATACTAATAGCTACTCGTAGAGGTTTTTTTTGAGTGTGTATGCTGTTGTTCGCAGATGACCTTTACAGCGTCATCGGGTTTGGGGACGGCGAGATCCTAAGGGGACCTCAAGCCGAGAATTGGCGAGTGCATCTAGAGGTATTCCAAGCGGATGGCATCTACCCACGCGGGGAGACTCTCCGTCTGGAGCCTCTAGGCCACTCGAACCTGAGGGGATCGGCTCAATTGTGACGACCTGACGACCTCCGTGGCCGAGTGGTTTGTACGCCGGTTTTCATGGTGTCGCCGACTCGAGAGGTCCTGGGTTCGAATCCCGGTGGGGGCAGATGTTTGTGTGATGAATACGAGCATTTGTACTCCAGTCATGGATGTTTAATATGTATTTCTATATAAATATACTTATATATGTACAGTATATGTATTCTATCCGTTACCCTAGCATCCCATAACACAAGCCTTATAGTGCTTACTTTGGGGCTAGGGTAATTGGTGTGAGTGTTGGTATTAAAAAAAAAAAAAAAATTAGAGGGCGTCTCTGAGTCTCGGACCTCGGCTCTAGTTAGCCGTTGTCGTTGGGGATCGTTGAGGGTACGGGTAGCCACAAGTATTTATCTTGCGCTATGCATACGCATCTTTAGAATATTGGTTACCTTCACTGATGCTGACGTCATCTAAGGTGATGATGTGTCCGAAGGAGTTGTACGTGGTGATGCGGTAAGTTTCTATAGCACCTTTCGCTAAATTGTAGACTTTCAAGCTTTTTCTGTAATTCGTAAGTATCATAATAAAGTCATATAAATAAATAGATATTATTAAAACATTTCTTTACTGAGACTAAGCGACCGAAAAAGAGACAGTAATTTGTATTTTCAAATTGTTTGTTTGGACAGGGATTTTTCAAAGATTGTTACAAGGTTCTAATAAAATAAAAAAAAACTATCGAACTAATTGATTCATGACCCACTTGCTTGATAATTCGCTTAAAAATGTCAACACAGACAAGTTTTATTCTATTGAAAATGCGTTATTGCACTTAAGACCTCCTAATAACAAGGAAAGTGTATTAACGCGGAATAAAGATCTTTCAAACTTAACCTTTGCTTTCAATGTAGTAGATCATGTTGTAGAAAAAAAATTAACTGTAGTTTGAATTTCGAAATAACTCCCAAAATCGTGAACATAGCTGAAACTCTTTCGATTACTTGACATAATGCCGGACATCTTTAGTAAAATAAAAAAACGAGTGTGCTTATGACCACACGACGGAAGTGAAACTTCTTTAGCTCCATCTGTATATATATATATATGTACAATATATACAATTATGTATATAATTCATCTAATAGCTATAAGAGAAAGAGACAAAGAAAATGAGCGCGCGCACTGCTTTCTTTTGCTTATATCCGTTCGCCTCGCCCGAACACACTTTTCGTAACGCGTTACGCATTCGCCAGCTTGCCCTCCAAATCAAGCGTGCTTAAAGAAGTTTCACTTCAATAGGGAAATCCTAAGTATATGGACAAGACTCCAAATAATATAAAGTCAAAATTCTGTCACCTCAAGTATGATTGTACTGAAAACAACAAGTTTGTTTCCTGGTATAAGTACATTTAAGCGAAAGTCTACCTTAATATTTTGCAATTGTTGTAAGAAAATAATCTTACGGTGATTGGTGGGTCAGAAAATAAATTGGCTGATAGTACAAACGTACAGGTTTATTTCGAATTTTTATTTCTTCCAGTAGTATTATCTTTACATATAAATATTCCGTTAATAAAAAAAAATACCTTACTGATGGTCGAAAATAACATAAAGATTCGTTTAGAGCTATTAAAAAAGGATAGGCTTTTGTCAAAAATAGATTTAACTCTAGTAGTTTTAGCAGTGGTCTTAACGAGGGACCATTTGTCAAAATTTCCGTGTTACCCTGGAACTCCATTTACGATTCCCCCTCATCCCCTAGAAATTATAAATCACTCAGCATTCTTACTTCTGTAATAATGTTTCAATTGGCATTCCGGACCAGTTCGCATGCTTCCAGGGACCACCGGTTAAGAACCACTGTTCTAGAGAATCTCATGTGAGAGTTAGGGCCAATGTCACAATAACTTACCTTATGGGAATGTCGTAGTTATAATCCGTTTTGGAAACATATAATGTTGCCTCGATCTTCATACCCTCATCCTCCGTATTTTTGTTCCATACCTGCACTTGTTTACCATCGTAACTGGTCTCGCCTGAAATTATAACATACATATAAAATATATGAATATATCTAACAACTGCTAATGTTAAAGCACATATTTCTGTCGTACCACATATCTACGCAACTGTACACCACTAAAACACCAAATGAGAAGTATTTACGCAGCCTTGCAGCAGTTTAGCGCAACCGTACATTGAGTCACTGGAGGCTACTAAACGCGGTTAAGGTGGCGGTTCGCGCCGCGACCGCGACAGGAGACCGAGATGAGAGACCGAGACAGGAGACCGCGACAAGTGTCTTGGTCTCTTCTGTATGTACTGCGGGGCGAGACCGAGACTACAGAAGAGACCGTGAGACCGCAACCACCTCAGTGCCGTTGAGTCTCTTGATGGAGTGAATTGTGATTTAGTTTGTCATTGAATACTGTTATGGAACGCCACCTAGAGTTATGATTAGAGGAATAAGAAGACGATGATTTGCTGTTATATTATTACTACAAAACTAAAAAATTGATTATGGATTTACGAATTATATTTAACTAGAGGTCAACAAGGTTCATTTTCGCTATTAGTGAAGAAAAACCAGTCATATTTCATGAAAAACACGGTCCGGGACGGCGACCGTCTCGCTGTCTTCGGTCTCGCGTCGCTGTCTCCTGTCTCTGTCGCACGAGCGAAGTGCCGGTGGCGGTATCCTGGCTCTGTCTCTCGTCTCGGTCTCCGGTCGCGGTCGCGGCGCGAACCGCCACCTTTACTGCGGCCCAATCAATCCACTAGATGCAGACACCAATCGCCGCCGCACTTTTGGCTGAATCCCATTTGTTTCCGTTGAGAGCTTGCAGCAGAGAAATGCGTTTGTGAAATGGCAACACTAATAAATTCGTTGTTGTTGATTATTATTATTATTATACTGAGACTAAGAAAACGTCGTCTCATTTAAAACCATCGATTATTCACCATGGTACTGAAGCCGAGTGTGTGCGCGCGATGGGAGCGATAAAACACGGCCACAAGTAGCGAACTGGACTTCACCTTCATTTAACATCATTTGTCGGACCAATCTATAGAAAAAAAAACTCGGGCGACTCCTACAGCTTGTGGCTCATACGCAGCTACTCGAACGCTTAGTTTGCATCGATACTATACAAAATGTTGCCGATACTGTAAAAAACTCGTCCACAGCTTGTACTCGTGTTTAATGGCCGCCGCTAGTGGCTCAATGTGCGATTGCGCTTATTACAAAAATACATACAATAAAAAAAAGAAAATCATACCGGAATATTCATACTCATCGAACGTCGGCATGAAGTCTTTCAGTTCGCCCCGGTGGGACTTCTCCTCGCACTGTATTACGTTATCCAAGTCCTTATCAGTGACTGTGTAGATCTGAAAAAGTGGTCTTCATGTATTGGACCTAAGCCAATACTTAGAAACTAAAACGTACAAGATTTAACATAAATATATCTACTGATTTTTAGGCTAAGAACTCGCGGCGCGATTTTACCCGTGCCCGCCACGGCTGCGCGACCGCTATTCGCGTAAAATATGAAATTATAGGTAAAACGCACCCTCTGCGGGTTTCGCCTCGTAGCCGCAGCGGCTGCAAACAACAGAAACTCCGGTCTCGTGACTATTGAAATAAGACACAGAGCTGTCTTATTTCAGAAGTCATGAGACCGCGGCAGTTTCTGCCCGCTACGGGTGCGAGAAAAACCACTCTGTGAGTTCTGAGCCTTACGGTAAACCACAAAGCACCATTGTGATTTTTACTGTCGGTCCCCTACCTCAAAGTGAAAACAAGTGGTGCTCACTTGTAAAATTTATTGCCGGTCAATAAATCAATCAATAAAGTTACGAAAATGGTAGGAAAGTCAAAACTGTACATTGAATATTTTTTTTAAATTAAAAGAATAATTGGGGTGTGATCTACAATTGATACCAAAGCCAAAAATATAGTTTTAAGAATTTTTGTCTATTTGTCTGTATGTCTGTAAGTATGTCCGAGATAAACTCAAAAAATACTGCATGGATTTACTTCAAACTTGGCACGAATGTTATTAAGAAGTCGGGTCAAGATATAGGCTACATTTATCACGCTATCACCTTCGGGGAACGAGTAGTGAACCTTTATTTCTAATTAACTAAACGCGTACGAAGTCGCGGGCGGCCGCTAGTCAATCAATAAAGATAAGATTATTTCGCATAACATCGCATTCTCGCACATTCACCAATCACCATTGACGTCATTCGAAAGCAAAAAGATGCCTACTCGACGAATTCTTTGCCAAGCATCGATAAATCGATACACCTTTGTACAATCGAACCACATAACCGCACACCTCTATTGAAGTATCGCTCGATCGATCGAACCAATTGATTCATGACCCACTTGCCCGATAATTCGCTTAAAAATGTCAACTGACAATTTTCTTTTGTAGACAATGCTTAGTTACATTAAGGACCTTCTAATAACAAGGAAACGGTATTTATATTGATGAAAGTTATTTTAAATTTTATCTTTATTTGTTTCTTAGGTTTTCACGCACACTACTCATTAAATAAAACAATAAGTAATAAATTAACGCATTTAACCCGTTTTATTTATTTACATTTATTTTCAATGCAATAGATCGTATTATATATTATATCATTAGAATAGTAGTATGAATTTCTAAATCACTTTAAAAAATCATAAGTTACATTTAACAGAAACTGTTTCGATCACTTGACATTATAAAAAACATTGGTAAAGTAATAGAAAAGAGTCCTTAGTTTAAATTATGTCACAGGAAAGCGGAAAAATTTGTCATATCAAATATGACTGTTCAGAAATTAATAATAATATATTACTTATATATATAATAAATCATTACAAAATAACAAGTTTACTCCAGGGATACGTACATTTAAGCAAAAATCTACGGTATTGTTATATTTTTTTATTTTTAAAGTACTTTACTGCTCGATGTTTAAATCTAAAGAAAATTTTACTACAAAAAAGCGCAATCGGCCAGATAGTGAAGAGTGCGGGTTCGAGTCCCGTCTACTGCCTGCAGTGCTATTCTGTAAAATGTTCACGCGTGGATCCATTGTGGATCTGCGAGGATTTATTTTGGAACTGTGAAAATTTTACACAGAATAGCCCCACTGGTCCGCATGGATCTACCTTATTGTTTTAAATGGTTGTCATAAAATGAGCTTATGATGGCTCAGGAATCAAATTGGCTGATTGTACTTTTTTCTTCTTTCTTACTTCAAATTGAATGGAAACCGAGTGTGTCAGCTTTTGAGTAGTCACGGGAACAAATATACTTTTTAAAAATATACTGTAGACTATCCAGCAGGATTCTGCCCCTGGTCACAAGGTACGAACTACCCAAGCCTGGATTAAACCAATGTTCCGGACTTTATAATTGGGTAATTGGTGTGAGTGTGAGAAATATTTATTTATTATTATTTATTTATTTATAAGAGCTGAAGACTATCCCTCATCTAGCCCTGACCTCAACCGTTTAGACTTCAAATTATTTTCTGTTCTAAACGACACGGCGACATTAAGTCGCTTAAAAAATCTTTGGAGCAAGCAGTGGCGAAATTTCCCCTGAAAACAGTGTGTAAATCCATAATAGACAAAGGTGGCCATTTCAAATAGAATATTTTTAAATTTTTTGCTGAGACTTTAATAAATATGTAGGTATAAATTTTAATAATATTACATTACTTCATTAAAAAATGCATTTTTATTTGTAACATAACTTATGGCTGGAGTAGGTATATAGTAAAACTCACGACATATTCGTATCCCGTATCCTCATCGGTCTCCGCGACATAGTATTTCTTGGTAATACCTCCGTAATACTCGATACGGGAACGGTTGTGCTCTGCGCTGTACCTGTTAAGAAATACAAAAAAAATATTAATTAGCAGACGTGCAACGTAATGAGAGCTGTATGACGCAAGTGTTATGCGCGTACGGTCTGCGATCGTCGAAGTTAAGCTGTTTTAGCAATGGTCGGTCGGCGGACGGGTGACCAAAATTTATTATCTTGAGCTTTTTTGAGCTTCGGAAGGTACGTAAAGCCGTTGGTCGTGGCTGTATCTGCAAGTCGTTATCACCCGCCAATCCACACTGAGCCCGTGTGATGGGTCAAGCCGATCTCTCTATCCCCTCAATAGGGAAAGTCAGTGGCCATTAATACGTTAGCACCGTGTCGCCACACACGGGCCACACGCCTCAGCCACAAACGCCGCCACGACAAGCTAGAAGCGGCTACTAAAGTGGCTGAAGCGTGCGACAGCGGCCGACTAAGGTAAGGGAGAGAGGGGTGGGGAATCGCGCGAGTGACGTATGGCGGCGTTTTGTATCGGCGCATTAAGTGGCCAGTGCGGGCCACAACCACAAGAAGCGAGCAACGACGATTTGCAGCGTGTGGCGGCTACCGGCGTACCGTGTGCGGCGAGTCCATTTAAATGTATGAAAACTACAAGAAATATGCCGGTGCCGGCGTTTTGTGGTTATGGTCGATGGCCCGTGTGCGGCGACACTAAAAGGCAACGGGGTATGAAAGAAGGAAGGTAAGAAAATATCGAACAGTGGGCCGAAAACTGTGTAAAAATTACCGAAAAAATGTTAGATTCCTGAGGGATTCACAAAAAACTAAAATTAACTCGGACAAATCGCGGGCGGCATTTAGTGTTAACTAAAGCGATACGAGTACCTATTCATATTAAATTACAATAGTTTAAAAACGCGGTATGGCACCGCACACGCCGCAAAATTATTAGGTATTTTTTACACAGTTTTCGGCCCAGTGTTCGATATTTTGTTATCTTCCTTCTTTCATACCCCGTTGCCTTTTAGTGTCCCCGCACCCGGGCCACCGACCACAACCACAAAACGCCGCCACCGGCATATTTCTTGTAGTTTTCATACATTTTATATGGATTCGCCACACACGGTACGCCGGTGGCCGCCACACGCCATTAATCGTCGTTGCTAGCTTCTTGTGGCCCCCACCGGCCACTTAATGCGCCGATACAAAACGCCCCCACACGTCACTCGCGCGATTCCCCACCCCTCTCTCCCTTACCTTAGTGTCGCCGCACACGGGCCACACGCCACAGCCACAAACGCCGCCACGAGAAGCTAGGCTATTAAAGTGGCTGAAGCGCGCGACAGCGGCCGAAATTAAAAAAATGAAAAAAGTAAAAATTATTAATTAGTAAATTTTAGAAAACCGGTGGACCACTTCCAAGTCTGAAATATTTAAAATAAATCATTACTACTTTTAAGGCCATAATTGCTTGCACTCAGTTGCAGAAGTCTATATAATTTTCTATCATAACCGAAATCATGCACAAGCAATAACCGCCACGTTAGCTTACACCCTCAACATTATCAGCCTATTAGCTGGAGTACAAACTTTATGGATGAAATATGGAGCTGGGGCCATCACCCACCAAGCTAAGCAGTGAAGATTAGTGGGTTCTTACGATTGCAAATGCATCCGAGACAGTTTAACATGCCTTTTGCAGCACGGCGGATCTCGAGTTAAAAAATTATAGGTCATCCATTCGATTAGATAAGGTCTGCCGTCCGCACTGCACAGTCTCACCCGTCGAGGGGGGATGCCTTGGGTGCTTCCGGGCATCCCCTGACCACCAGGAGGAGGAAGAACCCCTGCCGGAGGTAACGTGGAGAGTCACCAGGATCACACGACACCCGTTCCGGCACGCGAGGAAGCACTGTTGAGTTTTTAGTGGGTAGGGCCCTCCTAACATCACGAGCAGCGGCGGGATCCGGGGGAAGAGGAGTCCCATATAACCACGTCTCTCACCCAGGGGCGGGGTATGAGTCAAGTATTTTCCCAATATTAGAAAAAGGGATCACCCATCCGTTGACCGGCCATTGCGGAAGTTGCTTAACTTCCACGATCGAAGACTGAACTCGCTAATCGGACTCCCCACACCTTATCTACGTTGTATAAGGTAGATTTTCCTATTTGACTTACCATACTTCGTAGGTTTCCACCTCCCCAGAGATCACATCAATCGTTTCGCCTCTAAAACTGTATTCGGTGGGCCATGTAATTGTTTTTGCTGTGTCATCATCTGAAACTATAATACTTGGTGTATGACCCGTATTTTATTGTAAATCAATATTTTATAAATAGATAATTATAATTTCCCCTTCTTCTGTCGGTATTTTATTATTAAATTTATTTATTATAGGTAATAAAATATTAATAATAATAAATTAATTAATTTATTAATTATTATTTTTAATAATTTTTTTTTTTTTTTAACAGGAACCTCTTCTGATTCTGGTCGTATCGACATTGTTTTAAAAAAAGTGACATGCTTAGGCAAGGCTTATTTTTATTTTCAAATGAGCTCTACTTAAACTAAAAGGGATAATAAAACTTAAGATTGACAAAATATTCAAAGATACAACGAAATTATAAAATATTAAAATTACTCGATTTCCGATACAACACCTTCAACAACAGATTTCAGAAAATAATGCCCCAATTAGTACATCTTTTTTTGTATTTTAATTAAAGCTTATGTAGTCGGGCAGTTTTTAAAATTAATCAGAAGTTATGGAACATCTATTTTCTTTTTTTTATTTTATTGAATATCCATTCTGTTTTACTTAATTCATTTTTATTTAGAATCGATCAATTTTTTTATATCTTAGGTTAAAGCTAGGAAGGAGATTATTTTACTTATAAAACTACAAGCAATAGGCATTGTGTTAAAAAAAATAACGAAAAAAAATTCTAACACGAAAACTACGAAAAATCGTAGAACATACATGGGTGTTAAATTGATAGGTATGGTACTCCGCTATCAGCTCGCACTGGATTGACACTCTAGAAGAAACACCCTGTATATATATACAATATATTGAAATAAAAAAAAGATGTTCCATAACTTCTAAATAATTTTAAAAACTGCCCTAGCACTTAAGAATTCATTAATATACAAAAAAAGATGTACTAAATGGGGCATTATTTGCTAAAATCTATTGTTGAAGGTGTTGTATCAGAAATCGAGTAATTTTAATATTTTATAATTTCGTAGTATCTTTGCATATTTTGTCAATCTTAAGTTTTATTATCCCTTTTAGTTTAAGTGGACCTCATTCGAAAATAAAAATAAGCCTTGCCTAAGCATGCCACTTCTTTTGAACAATGTCGACACGACCAGGATCAGAAGAGGTTTCTGTTAGTGTACCTAAAATAAATAAATTTAATAATAAAATACCGACAGAAGAAGGGGAAATTATTATTATCTATTTATAAAATATTGATTTACAACAAAATACGTGTCGTAAGCGCAAATAATTATATTATTTTTCAAAATTAAACACTACTAATACACTTATTATTATTATTTTTTATAATTTTCACTCGATGGCGCAAGTTGCTAGCACGTTCAGTTGCGATGGTTGCAGTTCAGCAACTTTTGCAGTGGTCGGTCATTGGATGGGGGACCAAAAATTTACTATCGCGAACTCCACGGTGCTTCAAAAGGCAAGTTAAGCCGTTGGACCCAGCTGCATCTGCAGTCGTTAGCACTGGACCCGCGTAGTGGGTCACGGCCCAATCTTCCTATTCCATCCATAGAGAAGGCCTGTGTCCCAGCAGTGGGAATATTAATAGGCTGGTGATAATGATGACAGTACTTACCTAAGAGAACATGAGCGGAGCCAGCGGCTACTATCAGTAAAAAGCCCAGAACGCCGTGTAATCCCATTTCGTCCCAAATTTTCACCGCAACTGACCGACATTTGAAAATCCGGGTCGTTTATAGGTACTTCGCATTGTAAAGGGCAAGTTACACATTCACAAAAACTAATAAACTTAAGTACATACTTAAATAAGTTTTAAAAGCTTTTTTTTACTTTTACAGAATTTTGATGACGACCTATGTGGCCAAGTGGTATGTTCGCCGGTTTTCAATGTGTTGCCTACTCAGAGGTCCCGGGTTCGAATCCCGGTGGGGCAAATGTCTGTATGATGAAGTAGCATTTGAATCTAAGCCTTAGCCTTAGTATGTTTATATATATTTCTTAATATATATACTTGTATATGTATCAATATATGTATTCTATCCGTTACCCTATCACAAGCCTTACAGTGCTTACTATGGGGCCAGGCTAATTGGTGTAAGTGTTAGAAAATATTTATTTATCTATACCTAATATTATAAATAGGAATTATTTGATTGTTTGTTTGTTTGTATTGAATGGTAATTTATATTATTTATTTATTTTAAATTTATTAAACTTAATTAAATTTGTTCATTGCATGATCTTAATGCCTATCAGCATAATAATAAAGAAAACTTGCAAATTAGAAGGAGATATCAACTTAGATATGATATTAAGAGAGTCCTCTCCAAAAGATCATATTCATAAGATGGTGAGTGAACATTTGTATGATATTTTGTCATGAAAGAGCCGAAAGTATGCCCAGAGTTTTCTTAAAGTGGAGTTAGTTAGAAATAAAGGTTCACTGCTCGTTCCCGTACGTGATACCGTGATATTATGTAGTCTATATATTGACCCGACTTCTTAATAATATTCGTGCCAAATTTTAAGTAAATCCATGCGGTACTTTTTGAGTTTATCCCGGACATAAAAACAGACAAAAATCCTAAAAACTATATTTTTCGCTTCGGTATCGATTGCAGATCACACCCCAAGTATTCTTTAAAAAAAATATTTAATGTACGGTTTTGACTTTCCTACCATTTTATTATATTTATAGATAAGTCTTCACAAAGGTAATTAAAGTTTTTCTTTGCTCTGCGGTCTTGACGTCATTAGTATTTAAGAGAAAGACAAATTAAATGCACACTTAAACTGGAAATGCCACATACAAAGGCTGTTAAAAAAGATGTCATCTTTTGTTTATGCATTTCAACATTTAAAACGTGTGACTGATTTTAGATCCGCTCTTACTGCTTACTATGCATATGCTCATTCAATACTATCATATGGTATAATTTTGTGGGGAAGCTCATCTGACGTAGACAAATTATTTATAATGCAAAAGAAATGCATACGAATTTTGACAAACATCGATCAGATGGAATCATGTAGACCTTATTTTATTAAACATAGAATTTTGACCCTTGCATCCATACTCATCCTTGAATCATGTAAATTTGTAAGAAAACACCCAGAATTTTATTCACCAATAGTAAGTGTTAAAAGAAATAATAGGTATTTAAATAAATTAGAAGTGCCATACAGCAAATTAAGATTGGTTTCGGATAGTCCTCATGCTATGACAATAAAAATCTATAATAATGTACCTAATAATATAAAGAACGTAGAAATATCAGCCAAATTCAACAATCAATTAAAATCATATTTAATCCAAAAATGTTTTTATAATTTAAAAGAATTTTTTGACGACAAATGTAATTGATTTTTAAAGTTGACATTTTCATTATTATTATTATTGCTTATTGACATTGTTAAATCTAGTTTATAAAATTGAATTGTTTGTTGTGTAAAAATTAAATTATTATTATTGTTGTTTATTGAAATTGTTAAATCTATTTTATTAAATATATTTGTTGTGTAAAAATGAAATGTGAACTAAGTATTATAATATAATTATTTAACAAGCCCTCTGGCTTGATATTTGCTATGCCCTTGCAGGGCGTCACATATTTACTTTACATAAATTAACGTACCACCATGAATATTATGTGACATGCAATAAATGAATAAATAAATAAATAAATAAAGTGATTAGCCCGTTTTATCAGTATTAAGATCCAAACTAGGAACGACCTTCACCCATCTGTTTAATGAATGAAAAGTATTCATATTCCCTCTCCTGTTTTTCTGCTATTTACAAACAAACAAAATCGTTTATTCAGTACAGAACACGGATACAGATAAAATTGTTATAGGTAGTTAAATCTTACAGTGACTGAGACCACTCCGTATCCACGGCTGCGCTGAAAAGGGCCCAGTTCAGCATAATGTCAGTGCAGTATGCACTGGCGCTGGTTTTCAACTGGGTCCTTTATCTGACAAGTGGATGCCAAACACTAACGATTTTTATATGTGTATAATTATAATTATTATTTAAAACGATATGTTCGTTAACAATAAGCCATTTCTTTGGCTGGTCTTAGATCTGGACACTTAAATTTCGACGAAAGCCTAGTCAACATGTAGAAATTCATTAAAACGAACTCTCTTTTTGGCTGTTAATTCTTTGTATTGGAGACATCATGTCGTTTCTAACGGGCATGTTGTACATCGAAAAATGAACTTATGTTGTCCGCGGAAGTTCCTTTTTACCCATACAGTGACCAGCCTTTTTGGTAGTTGCTTAACATCCATAATTTTAGATTTAATAAGCCATAAAATAATTATAAATGTTGCATAGTTTAAACTACGATGTAAATGTCCCTTTATAACATCAATATTTTAATTTGATAAGAACATTATAAAATTATGTCACTATCAAAAAACGTGTAACAAATTTTTTTTATAGTTCACTATTAATAGTGTAGTTATGTTTAATGAAGTTGGTTAGTCCTTATAATTACAGTGGTAACGAGATTCATTATTTTTTATCTGTAATGAAAGCAAGAGTTATAAAAATCGCTATATTATGTCATGTTTTAGGATTCTATTACTGAAGATTGACAACAGAACGCATATTACTAACTCCTCACCGTCCGTCTGTCAATTCCTACTTAGTACGCTTGCTTTTAAGAGGGCCCTACCCAAAGGTAGAAACGGTACCTTATTACTAAAACTCCACTGTCCGTTTGTCACTAGGCTGTATATCATGAACCGTAAGTGGCGCCGCACACGGGCCACCGACCACAACCACAAAACGCCGCCACTGGCATATATCTTGTAGTTTTCATACATTTTATATGGACTCGCCATACAAGGTACGCCGGTGGCAGCCACACGCTGCAAATCGTCGTTGCTCGCTTCTTGTGGTTGTGGCCCGCACTGGCCACTTAATGCGCCGATACAAAACGCCGCCATACGTCACTCGCGCGATTCCCCACCCCTCTCTCCCTTACCTTAGTCGGCCGCTGTCGCGCGCTTCAGCCACTTTAGTAGCCGCTTCTAGCTTCTCGTGGCGGCGTGTGTGGCTGTGGCGTGTGGCCCGTGTGGGGCGACACTGATAGTTGAAATTTTCACAGATGATTTAATTCTGTTGCCGCCATAACAACTAATACTAAGAACAGAATAAAATAAATATTTATGGGGAAATCCCACATAACAAACGTGATTTTATTACCGTTTGTGTCTAATGTTGTATAGACAATGGCACGGAACCCTTCGTATGCGAGTCCTACTCGCACTTGACCGGGGTTTATATATACAAAATATTTCACTGTATTAGTATTTCTATTACCGCTATTGTAAGAAATGGTTAATTAAAATAATTTCTTTACTAGAAAAACAATAGTAAAAAGATCATTTCAATTTATAAATTTTAAGGAAAATATATGTATGTGCCGTGAAATACGCCAACATTGCCTGTAATCTTTGGTATTTTAGCAAGTTACACAGAAATCTTTGATTTTTGCAAAAATATCTCAAAAAGTAGGTTATATTTCTGGCATTACAAACTATTTTGTGTATTGTTAGCTTCACATAATAATGTGTGGAAGCTTTTTAAAATAGGTGTGTGTTTTTGCGAGCCAACGTCACACTTTTATAAGTCAATCTTGCATAATGGTGAAAATATTGTTTGTTTGTTTTATAACATATAATAATAAACTATTTTTCAGACCATTTTAGTGCTAGTGCCATTGCTGAGGGCTTAGTGAAACTAATTTTATGACGATGGGAAAAGTTATCCAGTATTTTTCCAACCTATGATGGAGAACATTGCCCGTCACCAAAAAAGGCCAAGTTTGGTAAAATTATGTGATTTGTGATTCTGAAAGTTATACAGGAACAATGAACCTAAAACTAAAAACCTTATAAAATACTAGCTGTCCCAGCGAACTTCGTACCGCCATAAAAAATAGGGGTTGGTGGTAGAAGGGTGAAAATTTAGTGTTGTATGTATTTTTGTATGATGTATCATAAAAAAATTAAAAATAAATATCTAAAATTGAAAAAAAAAAATTAGGGGTGGATTACCCTTAACATTTAGGGGTGGATTACCCTTAACATTTAGGGGGATGAAAAATAGATGTTGTCTGATTCTCAGACCTACCCAATATGTACACAAAATTTCATGAGAATCGAGAAACCCGTTTCGGAGGAGTTTAACCACAAACATCGCGACACGAGAATTTTATATATAAGATAATATAATAACTAAAATAAATTATTAAACGGAGTCCCCTTAGTAAAGATTATCTAATTATTTTTATATTTTTTTAAATTACTTTATTAATTATCATTATTACTTTATTAATTATTTTTTTCTGAAAGATTAACGTTAAATAACTACTTTAATCAATATTAAGTAGAATATCAGATATTAATTCATAATTTAAGTAAATTAAGGATTTGTAATAATAACATCTTAGGTATTACTTGAAGTCAATACAAAAGTAAAAAAAAAATCGTATTAAAATTAAAAGTTTATTACATTTAAAAGGTGAAATACATAATATTTTGTCTTTATTTCTTTTTTTTCTTTACCTTCGAAAAATCAGAACAGATTTTTTCTGCCTTTTTCATTGTTATGCTTCTCACATCTGACTGGGTTCAAGCCGGAGGCAGCAGACGGAATTCGAACTCGCTCCCAAAATCATTTATTCAGTTTAGGCTGTTACAAGCACTCATGAATGTCTAGAAGCTACGCCATCG